GTCACATCTGCTGGAATCCAATAAATAAAACATATTCACATGGCACAGATCTGGCCAATCCAATTTAACGTTTTATTTGAGCTTAAGTACTGACGAAATAACTACCATTTACACCACTATCGCTATAATTATCTACATCTGGCGTTGTCTCCAGACTCTGTCAAGGTCAGCGGCGACCTAAATAATGCGCAACAACATAGCTGGGGACACTAATAAATAGAAATTTTGATTCTATTAAGCATTGCTTGTCACCATAGCAATGCTGGCGGAATAGTTGGGAAATATCCGAACAACAATTACTTCTTTTCAAGGAGCCTTTTTCTGAATGCAACGATAAAGGTCAAGGTCGCCAAGCCAATTCGTGTTAATTAAAAATCGCTCAGTGTCATAAAATATGAGCATCAAGTTAGATATCTGCCACCATTACATAACATGTGCAGTCGGTCGATAGGGAGAACGTATCTTATGTTGTTTCCGGTTGTACGGCTACAGGTCAATATGGCTGTCATATGGATTAGCGTTATCACCGGGGTACTTTACACGTGTTCCTGTCAATGTTTAGACAGATTAGTGCTACAGAATCACCTTGAAGCCGGTGACACGCTATGGAAACAGCGAGGTACACAACAACAGACGTACGTCCCGATATGTAATACGTCCTGGTCATATCAACTCTTGTAACTTATCTTTTACCCCATTTATATCACATCAACATCACGTATCTTTTTCATGTTATCGTTCTTCGGGGATATATCAAATAGAAGCATCAGGAAGCCGAGGTTACGGAAATCAATCCCGGATATATAAAAGACCGTTCCAGTCTTCAAATTAATATGGAGGGAAGGCTGAATATTGTTCGTGCAAGAAGAGGTGTGGGTCGGTAAATCTGAGTTAACAGTCCGATATCCAAAGAAAAGTAGTTTGCACTAAGAGATGATTTAAAGTATCTTTATATAGATTAATCGTGTTTAATCATTAGTAGCATTATTGAGTATGGATCCTGACTGCCAGAAGTGTGTGACTGGTGTTGCCTCCGCTTCACTCCCGGGTAGAACAGTAAAGCAGCGCGTTAATTATCCTTAATATTGTTTACACTTGTATATACACAGCCGGATACCATGTGGTGGGAGGTTCAGTTAATTGTTGTTATTGCAGTCTCAGATAAATCAATGCCACAAGGTCATTCAGGGCCACGTGGTAGAGTGGCTGAGCAGTACTGCAAGTGTATGGGGATTTCACATAAGTCGCCTCATACCATGATAGCCCCCTTATCCCTAAATGTTAGTGAACCATAAGACACTAACTCCGAGGCGTGTTATATGCTGAAGAAGTAACTTGTACTTACCATGTGCATTTTCAAAAAAAAAGTTTTCATTTCTTTAAGAGATTTTAAATAACGAATCAGATGAAAAAATATAAAGATAATGTCCTTTAATCATGACGTAATTCGGTAGGAATATGACGTGAAGATTAAGGAAAAGATGAGATTCACTATTTTCCCAACGTCTGTAGACACAAATGTGCGGAATATGGCGATATTTTTACCGTGATAACAGTTAGTAACAGTACAAAGAATTGATCCGAATAAAATGAAAAAAACTTAGGAATCAATTGCCCAAAATTAAATGAAAACGTTCTCATAAAACTATTTGTACGAGCTTGTGTTCAGATAAATACAAGAAAATTCAAACAGTATCGTATAATCTGTACAAACAGTGTAGGCCAGTGTTCAGAAGAAGGTGAGAATTATAAGCAGATATTTGTGTTTATGTTTGCATGACAGCACGCACGTGTATGAGTCAGTAAGTTCCATGAGAAATATCCCACCAGTCTTTACGCGAGTTACCTCCCCCTTAGTGATCGTACTGCTGATAACATTAGGTCATTGATGAAGATCTCGTGATCTATACCAGTAATGTTTAGAGCGATAACCCCCTTCCCCGATCATTCTTCTACCCCATCACACTAAATGACACTGACATATACAATTCCTTTCCCTCCTGCTCAGCCCACCCTACATTGACTACTACTCCGATGACCTTTTCCACCAACTCAAGAGCATAGACAACACCTCCTCCCAACCCTACCGCTTCTGGCCCGGTACACAGACAACACCTCCTCCCAACCCTACCGCGTCTAGCCCGGTACACAGAAAACACCTCCTCCCCATCCTACCGCGTCTAGCCCGGTACACAGACAACACCTCCTCCCCATCCTACCGCGCCTACCCCGGTACACAGACAACACCTCCTCCCAACCCTACCGCGTCTGGCCCGGTACACAGACAACACCTCCTCCCAACCCTACCGCGTCTAGCCCGGTACACAGAAAACACCTCCTCCCCATCCTACCGCGTCTAGCCCGGTACACAGACAACACCTCCTCCCCATCTTACCGCGCCTACCCCGGTACACAGACAACACCTCCTCCCCACCCTACCGCGCCTACCCTGGTACACCGACAACACCTCCTCCCCACCCTACCGCGCCTACCCTGGTACACAGAGAACTCCTCCAACCCACCCTACCACGCCTACCCCGGGGCACTGACAACTCCTTCTCACCACCCTACCACGCCTACTCCGGGACACAGACAACTTTTCCCCACCCTACCACGCCTACCCCGGGGCACTGACAACTCCTTCTCACCACCCTACCACGCCTACTCCGGGGCACAGACGACTTCTCTCCACCCAACCTCAACACAAACACCACCTCACCTATCCTAACAAAACAGAATTCTTTCATGCTGTATGTTATAGATAATTCAATTAGAAGTAAACTTTTTTTTCAATCGATACCAGTAAATTTACACAAAAATATGTTTGAATATACCTTTTTACCCTGAAGAAAAAAAAAAGATTTCTTTTAATACGGAAGTAATTAATTTGATCATTTGAAAGTTTTCTCATCGAAAGGTAAAACGTGCTTCCGAGTGATTTCAGCTACGTGAATAAATCAAAATGTGTTGAAACAAAATATGTTTTATTTTGTATGTACATTAGAAATAATTTACTTATTTACTTGGCTTCGTTATTAGATACATGTAAACAACGAAACTTGTTAAATTATGGCGCTAGTGCAGCCCCAACTAAATTCTGAAATTTCCGTCGATCAATTTAAGTTTTCATCAGTCGCCTACTAGTTTCAAAATTTAGGCCCTCTGCATCACTTACGAATCCTGAGGGAAGGAAACGGCGGTATGATAAAGATTGATAAATTATAATGTTCTACTGTATCTATTTCTAAATTTGTGTTGAAAGATGCTATATGTAAAAACTGTAAACCCGAAAACCCATTTAGAACAACTTGAGTGTGAGTCAATTTACAAGTTTACTTATCAGATAGCTTTCCTTATATGAATTATAAGTTTGAAAAGTAGTCACAAGAGATTAAAATATCAACGAATGTAGAAAACGAGCTGTTGTCAATATCGCTAGATGCTAATCAAATGCAGTCTTCATTTGATCAAAGCTCATCCGATGACGATGAATGCAATGCAGATAAACTCCAGACAAAGAAGAATATATAACAAAAACATACACATTTCCTACTTTTCAACATTTCTATATCGTCATAAATCCACGAAGCTGTCAGAGTAAAATGTTTGAAAAAAAATAAAATCAGTTTCAAAAGATACCACCCATGGTTTCTAGTGGCATATGGCCACAACAGGACTTCAAGCAGACACCATGGGCCAAGATAGTGCCCCATCTCGTGACGTAACTAACCTATATCTTGAGGAGTGAAGAGACTCCCCCGTCGATCCCCTCCCCAGGGGACATGTGTTGTACCTCTACCCCCTCCCAAAGGCTCGTTCTGAAACGTGCCAGTCGGTATTTATCTCCCGGCAAACTAAAAAGGGGCCCACTCAGGGGGCACTGGTTATAATTAATCAACATAATTAGATAAGTTAATTACATGGTAATTTAGTATGGTTTCTGACAGCCAACACAATTCCCAGCACTTACGCTCCATTGAGAGAACTCTTTTAATGGGGGTCATATCGTCCGTTCACAATCCTCTTTATACTATGTAACCTGACGGCGTTACTGTACTGAAACTTTCTCTGACCGTATGTTTATCATTGTCTCTGTGTCCAGGAAACGCTTAGGCGCGTGCCAGGAATGAGCCAATCACTTTGGTTTGATGGGTATATTAATTACTATTGCAATGTTTATATATATATATATACACCCATTCTGTAATATACTATATGAAACGCACAAACCGACTTGTGTACAGTACCAGCACATACTGTACTGATGATTTACACAAAGGGACGTGTATCTTTCTAAAAACACGGATCATCAAATACACACTAACGCCAACAATGCTTTACAATTACACCTCAAACAATGGAGAAGACAGACATGTTAGTTACACAAAGTCTGCAATATTCACCATCAGTCAACAACTATAAATATAATAGACTGGTTGATTTTTCAAATTTTTGTCATATTGTAACAAAATTCATCTTATTTTCATCGCATTTATAACATAGAAATATGAATTTCATGTCTTCTACAAATATTGCTTCAGAGTGAAAAGTTTAAGGTTCAGTTAGATATAGGTTTGAAAACTCCATTCATCTCAACAGCAATAATATGGTTCGTGATTAATTCTAACAGAAAACATTTATCTGTATTATCCATGAACTAAGCTTCCATCAGAGGTATTCATATTTTTTTTTATCAAACACCGATAATTTATTTCTGTCATTTTAGAATACAATAAGGAGAATACAAAACGAATGTTGATAAAAGAATCTGCTGCCTTTTTTAAATCAAGCACACAATACCTGGTATATAATGGTATAGTGCTACCCCTTACTAACATACAAACATTGCCCAGAGCCGTTTTAATGCGAGGAAAAGTTCCCCGTTAGTTCCTTAACAGCCCGATATACACGCACTTTGTCTTCAGAATTTACAGCTCAGCCGACCCGAACTTTACGCCATTAAAGTTTTGAAGAAGAGACGAGACAATATATTTACAAACCTTCTGCACCGAAAGGGGTTGTCCAAATTCCCGGCCCCCCGCGATCCTGAAGCCCCATGGTACATCCGGGCGGGGTCGCTGAAGCCATATAATCTCCATGTTGGCCTGGTCAGACCCGTGGGGTGAGACTTCGGACACTAGAAAAGTAGAGACACACCGGTAAAAGATCGGGAAACTACGCCAAAAGTTTGGGAGATGAATAGCAGTTGCTAAAGTTAGATAAGTTTGTTCCTATGGCAACAAGTGAACTGGCCTATCAGCTCCTTTCGATATATACTGTGGTGCAGATGTAGACAGCATCAGTGAGTCGAACTCATTTCTCTGTTATAAGTATATACAGTAATGCTAAACACTATCACACCTGGTGCAAAATACTTAAAGATAAGGTTGGGATGGGACTTTTAAAATCGGCATCCCACTTGCAGTTTTTAAAAGTACTTTAAAACCGTGAAAATTGAACAATCACAACCACATCTTAGAAGCGTGAGACGTGTTCATTGAACAATAATGGGGAGGGACGGTGATTAGAATTAAAGTTTTTAGATGACATATAGATGAAATGACTTTATTAAATGCCTTAATCCATTGTCTTCGTTTTCCTGCAAATGAAAGGTCATACAGTATGTTGGTTGTGTAGGAAGGTTTGTAGTCATAACGCCCGTTCAGGTCATTAATAACGGTGAACAGTAAACCTGTCCATACATTAAATAGTCATCGTAATATAAGTCCGTAGTTAAAGACGGGAAGTTATCATTTACCGGAACAACGACGGCTGATTTGCCGATCTATACCTTAAGGCCTATATCCAGAACGAAATGTCGTGAATCAAGATAACATCATCTACAGCTGAAAAAAAGGAATTGTTTCAATGGGAAACCTTCTACGGATATTTCTATAGGAAATGACTGTTGTTAAATCTTAAAACAGGAGATTTGTGATGAGATAATAAAGCTACACAATATTCACAAACCAACTATTTTCCCGCGCTGGATCACATAGAACAGGAAGTACTTCAACAGTACAAAGTGAATTTCTCTGGTAACCGATCGGTTAACGGATGTATCAAATCGAGTACACCTGTCTTAGGAAGAAATCGTTGCTGCTAGTGGTTCAGATGTCATAAGCTATATTAGTTAATTCATTTTCATTGAATACATTATAAACTATTTAACATACACCAAAGGCTAGTAGATAGTGCGTCCGACTATTTTACGTGACATCATGGGGCTAATGGATAGTGCGTCCGACTGTTCCATGTGACACTATGGGGTAATGGATAGTGCGTCCGACTGTTCTATGTGACACCATGGGGCTAATGGATAGCGCGTCCAACTATTCTACGTGACACCATGGGGCTAATAGATAGTGCGTCCGACTGTTCCATGTGGCACCATGGGGCTAATGGATAGTGCGTCCGACTTTTCCGTGTGACAACCATGGGGCTAATGGATAGTGCGTCCGACTGTTCCATGTGACACCATGAGGGTAATGGATAGTGCGTCCGACTGATTTACGCGAGACCATGGGGCTAATGGATAGTGCGTCCGACTGTTCCATGTGACACCATGGGGCTAATGAATAGTGCGTCCAACTGTTTTACGTGAGACCATGGGGCTAATGGATAGTGCGTCCGACTGTTTTACGTGAGACAATGGGGCTAATGGATAGTGCGTCCGACTGTTTTACGTGAGACCGTGGGGCTAATGAATAGTGCGTCCAACTGTTTTACGTGAGACAATGGGGCTAATGGATAGTGCGTCCAACTGTTTTACGTGACACCATGGGGCTAATGGATAGTGCGTCCCACTGTTTTACGTGAGAAAATGGGGCTAATGGACAGTGCGTCAAACTGTTTTACGTGAGACCATGGGGCTAATGGATAGTGCGTCCGACTGTATTACGTGAGACAATGGGGCTAATGAATAGTGCGTCCAACTGTTTTACGTGAGACAATGGGGCTAATGGATAGTGCGTCCGACTGTTTTACGTGACACCATGGGGCTAATGGATGGTGCGTCCTACTGTTTTACGTGAGAAAATGGGGCTAATGGACAGTGCGTCAAACTGTTTTACGTGAGACCGTGGGGCTAATGAATAGTGCGTCCAACTGTTTTACGTGAGACAATGGGGCTAATGGATAGTGCGTCCGACTGTTTTACGTGACACCATGGGGCTAATGGATAGTGCGTGCTACTGTTTTACGTGAGAAAATGGGGCTAATGGACAGTGCGTCAAACTGTTTTACGTGAGACAATGGGGCTAATGAATAGTGCGTCCGACTGTTTTACGTGACACCATGGGCCTAATAGACAGTGCGTCCGACTGTTTTACGTGAGACAATGGGCCTAATAGATAGTGCGTCCGACTGCTTTACGGGAGACCATGGGGCTAATAGATATTGCGTCCGACTATTCTACGTGAGACCATGGTGCTAATAGATAGTGCGTCCGACTGCTTTAAGTGAGACCATGGTGCTAATGGAGAGTGAGTCCGACTGTTTTACGTGATAGAGGGTCGCGCTGATATACAGATGACGTATGGACGAGTGAACAGTGCGTCCGGCCACTTTATTAATGATTTACTGATGACTCACAAACGTCCGACTAAGGGTGATTATTGTACACGTACACCTACTTTTTCATAATCGTCATCAGAAAATGGTTTCGCTAATTTTAGCGTAAGTTTGTTCCTATTGGACTACACCCTTTCGACAACACAAACGTATGATTTTCCGTTCTTCTTGTCTGTCAGTGAGGTACTTTCCCTCCTGGTGCCGAGAACGCACAGTTCTGTGGTTCTGTGTAGACGGTCATGATCACGCGAGATTAATGAAGTTTCAAGATGGGAATCTTCACCGGTAGGAGAGCAGGCCAAGACAAACCAGCCTGTGTTCACATCTCTCCACCTCAGCACCTCTCAACGCTATTTCCTACAGCACTGGAAACATGCATCTATATCTATATCAACTGATTAAAAAACGAGTTACTGGTGAATCATACTATCCAATTGGTACCAAACATGAAGTCGTACAGGGAAAGTGAAACATGTATAAAACTCACTGGAATCAGAAAAGTTATACAACTACAAGGCAGATTACAACTTGATGAAAACAAAGAAATCATTAAACAAAATGTACACTGAGTAACAAACACCAATGTAAAACCAATATTCTCAAAACCCTGTCTGATATTGTCCAATTTTGTCACCTGCCGGCAGACGTATTTCATCATCTGTAAACTATAGACAGCTATAGGTTATCGTTTGTAACTTTTGTCACTGTTATATTTTGTGGTCCGTACGACAAACTGTAATAATAGCCATATTTCTTCGCCTGCAGCTTTAGCAACAGCCATAGGTTATCGTCTGTAACTTACGCGACAGCCATAGGTTATCGTCTGTAACTTACGCGACAGCCATAGGTTATCGTCTGTAACTTACGCGACAGCCATAGGCTATCGTCTGTAACTTACGCGACAGCCATAGGCTATCGTCTGTAGCTTAAACGACAGTCATAGGTTATCGTCTGTAACTTACGCGACAGCCATAGGTTATCGTCTGTAACTTACGCGACAGCCATAGGCTATCGTCTGTAACTTACGCGACAGCCATAGGTTATCGTCTGTAGCATAAACGACAGCCATAGGTTATCGTCTGTAGCATAAACGACAGCCATAGGTTATCGTCTGTAACTTACACGACAGCCATAGGTTATCGTCTGTAGCATAAACGACAGCCATAGGTTATCGTCTGTAGCATAAACGACAGCCATAGGTTATCGTCTGTAGCATAAACGACAGCCATAGGTTATCGTCTGTAACTTAAGCGATTGCTTTTATGGATACCATTACAGCTTGCTGATACAGTGTATAAATCATGGCTATCACTTAAATTAACAGACAACAATATATGGCTATCATAAAAGTCACATACATGTACTATAAAATATTGCTGTCACTAGAGTTACAGGCCACAAAATATAGCTGTCAGAAGATAACCTATAGCCGTCGTTTAACCACTTTTTACTACGTCGTTTAACCGATAGTTTTACCACACTTCGTCCCTGAAAACAGTAGTGTAACCATACTTCCATTCTGTAAACTTTAGTGTAACCGTACATCCATTCTGTAAACTTTAGTGTAACCATACTTCCTCCCTGTAAACGTGAGTGTAACCATAATCAATCCCTGTAACCCTGAATGTAACCATACTCCCTCCCTGTTAACGTTCGTGAAGTCAAACTCCCTACCTGTAAACTATAGTGTAGCCAAACTCCCTCCCTGTAAACGTTAATGTAACCATACTCCCTCCCTGTAAACGTTAGTGTAACCAAACTCCCTCCCTGTAAACGTGAGTGTAACCATAATCAATCCCTGTAACCCTGAATGTAACCATACTCCCTCCCTGTTAACGTTCGTGAAGTCAAACTCCCTACCTGTAAACTTTAGTGTAGCCAAACTCCCTCCCTGTAAACGTTAATGTAACCATACTCCCTCCCTGTAAACGTTAATGTAACCAAACTCCCTCCCTGTAAACGTTAATGTAACCAAACTCCCTCCCTGTAAACGTTAATGTTACCAAACTCCCTCCTTCCCTCCTTGTAAACGTTAATATAACCATACTCCCTCCCTGTAAATGTTAATATAACCATACGCCCTCCCTGTAAACTTTAGTGTAACCAAACTCCCTCCCTGTAAACGTTAGTGTAACCAAACTCCCTACCGGTAAACTTAAGAGTAACCAAACCCCCTCCCTGAAAACGTTAGTGTAACCATACTCCCTCCCTGTAAACTTTAGTGTAACCAACCTCCCTCCCTGTAAACGTTAATGTAACCATACTCCCTCCCTGTAAACTTTAGTGTAACCAAACTTCCTCCCTGTAAACGTTAATGTAACCAAACTCCCTCCCTGTAAACGTTAATGTAACCATACTCCCTCCCTGTAAACTTTAGTGTAACCATACTCCCTCCCTGTAAACTTTAGTGTAACCAAACTCCCTCCCTGTAAACGTTAATGTAACCAAACTCCCTCCCTGTAAACGTTAATGTAACCATACTCCCTCCCTGTAAACTTTAGTGTAACCATACTCCCTCCCTGTAAACTTTAGTGTAACCATGTCGCTACCTACTTCCGTGTAATCATAATTAACTTTCTATTTTTAACATCTGCAGTAAAGTTTTAAGAT